TATCACAACCTCTGACTTATTTACATTCCACTTGTCAAAATGTGTGCCCTTTTTGCCAAGTTTATTGTGGCTTCATCAGGCCTGCTGTTCACATTGCCCCCTCGCTTTCGACCCGTGAAGACAATGCCTAATATCTGCAAGCATGGGAATCAGAGACCAGGCGTTCTTTTAGCTGAGGTGACAGGGTACTTTTTCTAGGGGCTTGAGAAACAGCGCGGTGAGTAAAACGTACACTGGGACTGGAAACCAATGCAATCGGTCAACTAGAAAGATAAGAAATGGATCTACGGAACCATGAGGGAGATCCGGATAGGAGACCTGGATCGGATTAGCCGATTGAACAGCAGGCCTGATGAGACCACAATAAACTTGGCAAAAAGGGCACACATTTTGACAAGTGGAATGTAAATAAGTCAGAGGTTGTGATAGGGCGGGAGTTGGATAAAAGGGTAAAGAGTAGTTAGATGAACCATGACAGAAAGAGGGTGATGGTGCAACCGGTTCGGCAGAAAGTTTATCGAGGGATTGACTTCACTTGCCTCTGACGATTTGTAGCTTGGTGCTGATAGTGCAAGCCTCACTGATGATGCCGGCGAAACGTCTGAGAATGTACCAAGTCCACGATGTGATGCTGGGAATTATGACAACTACTATAGCACATGTCTTCGGGCAAGGTACGTTAAACTAAGTCGCCCTGTACTCGAGCCAAGGTTATGGTAGTGCAATGTATAACCTCGATACGCTATGCCACTGCCACGAGTGTTCCCAGGTCATAGGGCATACGTTAATTTCGACAAAGGCCATTCCTTTCTCATATCTCTTGTAGGTGGCTTGTAGATAAAGCAAATTTGCATTTTTCAACTACAATCGAATAAGTTGTCTATTTTCGTTTAGATTATGTTATGAAACAATAATTTAATATTGAATAAGAATTCCATGGCAACTTGAGGCCTTTCATACCATTGTGTTTAAATTAACCTTCAGTTCTTCATCATGTTATTCAATCTAGATTTACTGATATAAACGAAATCTACCCTTAAACGATTATGCGCAACTTAGTCGCAAGACAAAAGTTTACCTTAATATAAATGTGATATAGTAGAGACTTGGCCTTGAGGTTCACGTCCGACATGTGACCCAGGGGCGCTCAGATAAGTGTATCGTTTTGGTAACGTGCTGCGATTATTTTCCTTACTACTCAGGTTCGAGTCCCACTGTGGGTGCGGAGGAAACCCGGGCGAAGTTGAAATTGCAATCTATAGATAGGAATCCCTGTTGAGAATCAAGGCTTGGCGCCTACTCATATCATCGGGGGAAAAATTCACCTTTATCACATGCGACCTGAGGCTAATCGAATTCTTACTTTATATTGTCGACAATATTAAGGGCATCAAATCACGAATATATCATTATTTTGCGAGATAATGTAGGTTTCCTTATATGCATTAGCCAGTCTTTGGGATGTTCATGTAACTAAAATTAAAAAATAAAACCTGTTTGCAATTTTCCAGGTCCCAGTGATCAAAATGACCTCTTAATAGCCTTGTTTCGTCATTTTATTTTATTTTTTTCTCTTATAGACTTTCAAGCTGGTCAGCAGCTTTCATCCTATTGACCCCTCAGATCTTGCCCCAGACTTCTCATCAACATCCCAAAAGACACTGATAGATCTCGAGACCCGATTGCTTAAGCAATGTTCACTGACTCCTATTTCTGTGAAGCCATCTCAGTTCACTCAAACATCAGTCACACAAGACGAGCCCTTAAATCATCCCTTCCCTCCTGTTTCTTCTCCTTCCTCTTTTTCCTCTTCTTCCTCTTCTTCCTCTTCTTCCTCTTCTTCATCTTCTTCATCTTCATCATCTTCATCATCTTCATCGTCTTCATCGTCTTCATTCTCTACATCGTCGCCTTTGTCTCCTAGTTTACCCAACTTTTTACCCCGGAAGTCCAGATCCTCGAAACACTCACGCGTCAATTTTTACGAGTCTAATGTAGATCACCCAACCAACCAGTCCGACGTTCAGTCTCATATTCGACCTTCTGTAACGTCCTCATGGCAACGGGCTATCTGGTTCGAATATTGTCGGATGAACGAACTGGCCGAAGACTTCAGAAAAGCCTATTTACGCGCAAATAAAGAGTACTTGGAAGAGTGTGATCGTTTGAATCAGCTGATTCTTGCCAGTAAAACAGTTGCCGTAACAACGGCAATTAGTTAGTTCATTAGATGATATACATAAATACTTCCATTTTTAGCTTGCCTTCATTTCTTATCTTTATACTACACCAACGTATATTCTTTTTTTATACGGTTTCTGCGGTTTATCATTCCGGTTGTGCTGTTACGGCGTCTTTTAGGCTGTAAAGTGCCTCTCGACAATGTTTTTGGAGTCGATCTATTTCCTACCTTACAGTTTATACAATCTTTTTAAGCTCAAGCATGCGAATCGTCTTCATTCGGTATGAACCTAGTTTTTTCAATTCTATATTTCTACTAAATTAATCCTCAGAGATGGTTTGCTTATCGAAGTTGTCTGACCTTGTTTTCGCAACTTAGTCATATTGGTAGGAAGGCTTATAGGAACGCATTATTATTTCCAAAGTCGGACCGTGGACGCGGTACATTCCCAAACGTTTCACCGGCATCGTAGTCGGCATCGTCAGTGAGTCTCGCTATTCGTAGCAC